GCAATGTCTAACATTAGCACAGTCTGGAGCAGCAAAGCAGCAACAGGGATTGTTCAGCTGAGAAAAGACCCTTGGGTGCTCCATGACTTCAGACAAGAAATCCTTTGACAACCAAAGGTCACATCATAGAAGAGGTTCAGACTTTAATACTCTGCCTGCATCTGACATAAGGCGGCAAATATTCCTTCTGGCTCCAGGTCAGGGAATCTTTGGGCAAGAGCTCAATTACATCATACACATTGCTGGGCAGGGACCATCATCTTGCATTGTGGCAACAATGCCTACACCTACCAAAAGGACGTCATTGCTTCTGTCCCCATTTCCTAGGAATTTGTTCTTCTTACATTTATTTATTTTTAACTCTGTGGATCCCAAAGTATTCTTCCTAATGCTTTGCTCTTCTGAGTCAAATACTAAACCATACGGCAATTAGAAATTAGACATATGCCAAATTAGTATTCCTCTTCTACGTGGCTAAGAGCTTAGAGACCCACAAATCTATAAACAGGCTAGGACTTTGCTTAATGGAAAAGACTTTAAGGGCTGGATATTCCTGATGTGAAGAAATCTTTCCCCATGAAAGGACCATGAAAGGCTAACGTTTTATTAGCTGCACGGACTCCTTCCTTTGAACTCCTGTCTTTCATCTCCCCCACTTAATCATTTCATTTGAGCTGGGCATCAGGCCATGGCTATTGCTGGTTTTCATCCTTTCCCAAGAGTGGGACTGCACGCTGCTGCTGATCTAGACCTTGGCTTTCCTTGCCCACACCATCGTCCTCCCTCCTCCCTGGCCATCCCCAGCCCTCCTGAAGCCACCGCGGGAGCTGGCGTCGGAGATCCCGGCTCTTCTGACTAACCCAGGTGTGGCAGCGATGAGCTCAGCTACGGCTCCACCCAGCCCTCCTGGCCTGAGAAAATTTACAGAGTACAAGGCTCTCATTCACAGCGAAAATTTCTGTGAGGATAAAACGTGCCTTTAATGAAGGCCTGCAGCTTTTCTAGATGGCCTCCTCCCACCACCTAGCCCAAGGGTGCTGTCTTTCTATCATAATCGGTGAGATATATATCTCTAATGCTACGTATAATATATGCACTGACATAGCAAGGACATAGCATTGTCAGGTAGCTATTTTTGTTGTTTCCTCCAAAGATCTATGCATCAGTGGTAAATGCCCCTGGGAACAGACTCTTCAGTCTCTCCACGAGCACCCTACAATGAATGCGTGGAGGAAGGATTTCCATATGCCCGTGGTGGACGGGGTGGGTTGCAGTACGGAAGCTGTAAAGGGATGCTCATCTCCCCTTCCCAACAGGTATGAAGAGGAGATCAACAAGCGCACGACTGCAGAGAATGACTTTGTTTTGCTCAAGAAGGTGAGGCACCAACAACAAAGAAGGGACAGACTTTTTAAAGGCAAAACGCATTTGAATGCAAATAACCCTTTTTATCCGGCAGTGCCAAGCTGGGCAAAGCACTTAGCAAACGTGTAGTCATCCCTCCTTGAAGCAGAAACACCCAATTGTGCCAGTGTGTCAGTCCTTGGCAATAGCTCGTTCTTGTTTCAGGCCCCTCATCCAAAATTCAGGTGAGTCCTGGTCCCCCAGGTACCAGATCAGATCTGGTTATCAGATGGGTTATCCATACCTTGTAGTCACTCCACTAGATGCTGCGCCACTTCTGCAGCCTTTCTGTATCCAATCCCACCCTCCACAGCCCTCCCTGGTCCCACCTGCAGGAGACACAATAAGAAACTTCCATTATTTCAAGCATTGTCCAAAATATCTGTCTGTGCACTGGCAAAAAAGGGAAATTCAGTGGCTTTTGACATGTCAAAAATTGCTTAGATCTATGCACATCATCCCTCCCTCCTCCCAAAAAAAGGTGGAGGGAAGAAACCAATTCACTCTTGGCTCTGTTTAAAGGCACAGAGGTCAAGACAGTCTTCAGTTCTGGTTTGTCTCCAAAGGTCCTTATTAAATGACAACTGGTCTTTGTACAAGGATGCAGATACGCAAGGTTTGGTTCACTACCTCTGTTGTCACGGTTCCAGGATGCGGATGCTGCCTACATGAACAAGGTGGACCTGGCGACCAAGGTGGATGCACTGACAGATGAGATTAACTTCCTGAGAGCCCTCTACGAAGCAGTAAGAATCTTCCAAATTGCCCAGTTCTGCTATTTTCCCCCTTTCCTGGTACCAACAGGATCGAACCAGCCTGAGAGAGCTGTTCGGAGCTGCAGATCCCCTCCATTCCTACCCTTCTACCACACATCATCTCCGGGACAAGCACAACAGTGCAGCATTTGGGACTGAGAATGAATTTGTTTGACTTACAGGAGCTGTCTCAGATGCAGTCACAGATCTCCGACACGTCTGTGGTCCTATCCATGGACAACAACCGAAACCTGGACCTGAACAGCATCATTGCAGAGGTCAAAGCACAGTACGAGGACATCGCTAACCGGAGCCGGGCAGAGGCCGAGTCCTGGTACCAGAGCAAGGTGAGGATCTGAAAATTAACCAGGTGAGCTAGGAAAAATTTTGTTTAGCATTTCCCAAAGGCTATTTTATACTGGAGAGCGCAAGCAGAGAGGACGGGGAGCAGGGTATAAAATCAAGTCAATTTGGATAGGATTTAATTTAGTTTCTTGGACATGTGAAAATGCCATTTTGACAACGAGAGATAGAGAAGCATAAGGAGATAGAGGGAGGAAGGAAATATGCTAAAGCTCATGAGGAAGAGCTTGGATTGAGTACAGAAAGAGACAGAAGACCCGGTCAAGAGAGGATCAGAGCAGGGTCAATCTCTACCGATGAGTTCAGGCTCCTGCCCAGATCTGACTGTGCCCTGGTGTCTCATCTCCCTGCCCATCTCAGTATGAGGAGCTGCAGCTCACGGCTGGCCGGCACGGGGACGACCTCCACAACACCAAGATGGAGATCTCAGAGATGAACCGCATGATCCAGCGGCTCCACTCGGAAATTGATAGTGTAAAGAAACAGGTATGGTTCACAGGACCCCTCCAAACATGGGGGCACCTCCATCTCCACTAACTTGCTGTACCCTTGCAAGGATGCCTGGAAATCAGGGTCCAAACCCACTGAGCAGTCACCAGACCTATTTCCACTTCTTGCAGTGCGCCAGTTTGCAGACGGCCATTGCAGATGCTGAGCACCGTGGGGAGATGGCCGTCAAGGATGCCAGGGCAAAACTGGCTGACCTGGAAGATGCCCTGCAGAAAGCCAAGGCAGACCTGGCCCGGCAGCTCCGTGAGTACCAGGAGCTCATGAACGTCAAGCTGGCCCTGGACATCGAGATCGCGACCTACAGGAAGCTGCTGGAGGGAGAGGAGAACAGGTGGGTGGCTCCCCCTGCAAACCAAATAAGGTCCAAACCCGTAGAGATGTTTTCACATTTGCCTTGCAACACGAGAGGAAAGGGCCACAAAAACTTGCGGAGAAAACACACCCCTATCCTATGCATTTACAGGTGTTATTTCAATTTCTGTCAGATGCTCATCATCAGACCTTAACACCCCAGACCATTCTGTTATCCAGTGTCCCTGGTGCCAAACTGTTGATTGAAATTGTCCTAAATAACAAGCCCTTCCTTCTCTGTCCTCTCTTTTTTTCCAGGCTGAGGGAGAGGAAACAGGTGGGTGGCTCCCCCTGCAAACCAAATAAGGTCCAAACCCGTAGAGATGTTTTCACATTTGCCTTGCAACACGAGAGGAAAGGGCCACAAAAACTTGCGGAGAAAACACACCCCTATCCTATGCATTTACAGGTGTTATTTCAATTTCTGTCAGATGCTCATCATCAGACCTTAACACCCCAGACCATTCTGTTATCCAGTGTCCCTGGTGCCAAACTGTTGATTGAAATTGTCCTAAATAACAAGCCCTTCCTTCTCTGTCCTCTCTTTTTTTCCAGGCTGGCTGGAGAAGGTGTTGGTGCAGTGAATATTTGTAAGTAATCTGGCTCCTAAGCAATAGATTGAATATTTATTGAGTTATTCCTTAAATGTACCTGGAACTGAGGATAAGACAATGAAAATGAGCTATGCAGCCAGTAGTTACCAGCACAAAAATGGAGTATATACTTAGGGTTTTGCAGCACTCTGTGGGACTGGGGAGGCTAAAGAGCCTGATACATCTTTTCTCTGACCAGCTCTGAACTTGAAAGGTTTTGCACATTGAGACTGTCCCTAGGAGACTCAGATGTCTAAGGCCAGCTCTGCTACAGGATAGGAGGAAAAGCCAGAGAATAAGATGTGTGAAATACAGGCAGTGGTAGACTGTCCAAGAAAAACCATGAACGTGTGAAACTAAAAGCTGAAATTCCTTCGTACTATTCCAAACAAACTAACCCTCTGCCCATGGTTTCCCATCACAGCCGTGGTCTCATCCGGGAGCAGCTACGGAGGTGGGAACACACTGGGGCTGGGGTCAGGCTTCAGCAACAGGCTCAGCATGGGGGGAAGCGGTGCCAGCTCCAGCCACAGGAGCTGCCTGGCTGGGGGATTCAGCTCTGGCATGGGAAGCAGCTCAAGCATGAGGTTTGTATCAAAAAGCACCAGCAAGAAGAGCTATCGGAGCTAAGTCATGGTAGCACCCAGCTCATCCGGAGCAGAAGAAGTTGAGCACCACCTCCTGCTGCCAGCACAAAGCCTGTTAACACCATCCAAAGAGCCACGCTTATCACTTTCCCATTAGGGGAAAACATATTCCCAGCGCTACTTACTGGCTTGAGAGAGATGCCTCTCCAAGGCCAATTAATTCCTCTCCATAAAGCCTCACCCAGCTGACCAGAAGCCCAGCGCTGCTTGTCAATGAGTAATCAGCCTTCCCATTAATGGGTGCCATCGTTAGAGCTCAGCTTGCAGCTTCCTAGGGCTCCCTTTTGCTCCAGTGCCCTGGTGCAAATCCAGAGTAGAGGCAGGACTTGGATTTATACCAGTGTACATGAAAGCAGAACGTGTCCCTTCACCCGCTTATGACAGAGAGCAGGAGGTGCGTTGAGACCACAGTCTCTAGTGCTCTCTCCTAATCAACCTGCTCCCCACTGCTGGGCTTGCTCTCCCCAAAGCCTTAAAGAATTGAAAACAAAGCGTCTTTCAATATAGAGGCAGTTGCTCTGTTTCCCGATTCCTCTTGCATTGCTGTCCTTTCACTCCACAGCTCTCTAGCTCTACCTACATCCAAAAATGCAGTCTTCATTTTCCATAGGTGAAAGGGGTTGGCTCTCTATAATGTCTAATTCCTCACCCACCCAGTACATATAATTTAAGCCAAAAGACGACGCAACCTACAGGTTGCTAGACCTTGTCTCAGCAGCAAACCATCCTCCTTTCCACCAGCCAGAGTGAGCTTACAGCAGAGGCAGGGGTTAAAAATACAGGAAAAACAAAAAGGAGGAACAGCCGGCTTTGGTAACACATTTTACACAACCTGGAAAAAAAAAAAATCTCTGTTTTAGTGTCTTTGTTCTTAGCTTTTTTTTTTTTTTTTTTTTTTTTTTTTTGGAGGGGGGGGGGGGGGAAAGGGGGGG